TTTCACTCCCCTTGTAATGCTGTGGAAATGTGTGTTTGCAAGCTTTTGTGTGTGTTTGTGCCCGTGAGCTTTCGGTGAGTCACTTTAGCCTGTTGATGCTACGTTGCCGCTGCATTCCTGTTGGTAGCCAAAATATTACAGGAAAAATAAATTTCTTCTGTTTGTTCTTAAATCTAAAAGATTTCCTGCTTTGCTCCTGAAATATCTTTGGATGTTAGACTTGCTAATGAAAGTATTTGAAGATGTCACTTTTTTTGAAAATTGAAGTGGGGAAAAAGCTCTAAATCTGTTGTTTTAGTTCAGCTTGCAGCTGGTAGAAAATGACAGTTTAAATGAAGAAAACAAAAAAACAAAACAATAGTTTATACATTTTATTAGTGGTGTGGGTTTTGGAGATGCCCCCCAAGTGGCCATTCAAACTCCAGTGGTTTCTGTTTTAAAACTGTCTTCCGGTCATCCGCTAAGTGGAACCACAATTCTGTGTCCTCGTTGAAAGGCGAGAGTCTTGCGAATCACTTACCGTTAGATCAAATGGGAAATCCACAGATGATTCACAGAGATGAGTGACTTTGAGAAACTGAGACTTTGTAAAAAGCTTCTCCGGTATGCTCTGTGCCCTCACCCACCCACTCACTCACTCCAGAAGTAAAATTAAAATGAAGCATAAAGGGATCACAGAGAAGCAGCTGAGATGAAGGGTAAATGGAAATAAAAGGGGGGGGAAGACTTTTCCGGAGCAGGCCTGGAAGATTTCAATACCAGTTCTATCAACTGACCGTCTATTTCCAATGTGTGTGATCAGTCAGTGGCTCTTTTACTTAAAGTTTGCTCTCATAGACGAGGCTTTGTGAGGATGTGTGCATGTCATTACAGGGCCCTGCAAGTGGAAACTGTGTGCTTTGATATTCCCTGTTGCAGGCAAACCGAGTCTTGCTTCCCTCTGTTCCCTTTGCGCCAGTATTTTCCATTGTGGCATGTTGTCTTCATTTGCTGGACCAAAGAATCACTCAAACTTTGAGCTATTTGCTTAAGCCGCACTGCCAGGGTAATGTTTTTAATGCCTGGGTCAGGGAATGTTTTTCAGTGTGTCATAAAGAGTTTTGATAATTACCCACTTTCCATTTCGACAGAAGACATGTTTATCGTACTGAATGACCATCTGCCTGTTTCAGTTCTGTTTTGCATTTTGGAAATCTTTTCAATATGCCTATGCTTTTGACATGCACTTTAGAAACGTGAGCTAACCCAGTCACAGTGGTCTCCTGCTAGATGTGAAACCTCCTTTCAGGGAAATTTAACAGAGCCCCTGATACCACTTCAATCACAATATGCAAATCTGACAACAAATTCATTTCTCACTTAGCAGTTTATTTCTAAGATTTAAAATCTGCCTGACATTTTGTAGCCACGCTTTTCCCCCCCCTGGGTTTGAGGTAATATCTATAATATTCTGGACCTTCTAGCTCGTTGTGACTCTTACCGAGCCTACGGGCAGACAGTAGTGGTGCTTAACACAAAGAGTTTTCTCTTTCTCCTGCATTCAAAAACAAACTTCTTTCGTATTTGTGCTGGAAACTACACAACAGTGTATTGCTAAAGATTGGATGAGAAAAAAGGTCTGCATGCATGGTGACTGGAAAAATCGTCCTCCCTCTAAGTTAACATCTTTAATCGTGCAACGCAATCAATGATTAAGAGAGGAGGCAGCACTTCATGGGTTTCTTTTGTTCTTTTCAGTCAGTTAAAAGATTTAAATCTGTTTGCTCCCAGAGGATTGAGTGATCTGATTGTAGCCTTTACAAGTAGGAGTAACTGTAGTAATGGTAGTAGGCTGACTGCAGATGTATATTTTGACTAGGGAGCCCCCCTCCCAGTCATCTGCAGAGGATCTCCCTTCGGCTGAGACATTCAGAGCCACAGTTACTACGACAGGCAGCGCTGAATCACTGGTTTTCTGTTGCACCGTCATGAACAATACCAGTAAACCTGAGAAAATACTATGGCATATGAAACTAGTCATAGCTTATGCGCGACTCAAACCTCTGTTTCACTTCTGGTTATTGATGTGTGGAGCTCCAGGTTAAATTGAAGCATAGATTATCTGTTGCTCAGTGATGAGGGAAACGTTTTATTTTTACAGACTGCGATGATTGCTCAGTTGCTTACTGTTGCTTTGGTTTTGGCCTTGTTCTCCTTAGAGATAAGCGTTTTGGTTTACTGACCTGCTAGCTCTAGTTTTTAGTCCACACGTTAGAACTTTTGTTATGAAACTGAAGCTGTTCCAAGTAGTTTGTTGAATTGAATGAGAAGGGAAACAGAAAAGAATCGTAAATGGGCAGAGGTGGAGTAAACTCCTTTTCCGTTGTATGTCTCTTTTGAGATGGAAAATCTCTTCCAAAATAAGTTTCCGACGGCCCCACACGAAATTGTCCAAATTTGCATCGAGCGCTGATGTAATATCGAGACCGAAGCCTCATGAAAATATTTCTGAAAGTTCATTTTGGGAAACCTCACTAGAGGGTTGTTGTTTTTTTTGTTTGTTTTTTGAAAGAGAGCGAGAACAAATTGAATCGAAATGAGCGGAATAAGTGTAAACTTTAGCTGGGTTTTGTGAATTTTTATGCTAATTCTTTTTTTTTTTTTGTCTCTTCTTACGTATTTATCGGTTGATAGATTAATGTTTGCCTATGCAACAATCTAATCAGTACAGCGGAAAGTGATGAGTTTTTGCAGACGCCCACTTAATGTCGGTCTGTCGCACTTCACACTATGTTGCTCATATTCCTGTGGTATTAGGGCAGATTCACTCCCTTGAATAAACAGAGCTTACCACATAACGCTTAAGCTGTGCAGAAGGCCTGTAAGCGCAACTCTGTAATGTGTACCTCTAATTTGATCCATCAGTGCTCACAGTCATAATTTTTCTTACACACTAAAAGCAATTTAATTACGTTTAGTGTAGTTAAGTGCTATTAAGATATATTCTAAATTTGATCTGGATTAAAAATGCAAGAAGTCAAATGTTAAACCTTTATTGAACTTCATTAAACTGGTGTTACAGAAATAAAAGAAACTCAGTCTATAGCTGTGTCATTTTATCAATGCAGCTGCTGCTCTGGCGGTCCTTTAACAGCTGTAAGATGCAGTTTATTTTGAGCCCAGCTGCAGCACTTGTCTTTCAAAAGGTCACGGCCTTTAAAGGAGATCTGTGGTCCTCCATCAGAGCTTTATTTCACATGAGGAATTATGTGACAAAGCAATGAACCAGTCCACTTGCATGTTATACGTCAAAGTTAGACTGTATGCTCAAAGGTAAATGTTTGCTTTGATAATCACACGGTAGTCTCATAAGTGCGTGGTGTTGCTGTGAGTGTGAGAGTGTGCGCGCGCGTGTGTGTGTGAACATGGTTGACATGGGAAAGGAAGAGCCTCCCACGCTAACAGGATGATGTGAGTGATGGTGGCCAGACACAAAAGCGAACAGCAGAAAACACAAATAAAGTACACCAAGGCACTAAATTGCGCTTCTGGTCCCATGACAGACTGTGACAGACAATCATGTGTTCAATTTGAAAAAATGAACTTGAAGTACTCTTGAGTTTGAGGAGGCGGCGGTGAAGCTGTGAAACAGATATAAAGGTTAACAAAATAAATGTTAAGACTTCTTTGTTTTGCTGAATTTATTAAGGTTGTGTTGCTTTCTTACTCCACTTGTATTACTTTATAGCGTTTATGCGTGTTTGTGTGCGTGTTGTTAAATTTGAATATGGTTTCTTTTTTCTGAAGAAACGCTCTTGGCTGGTTCATTTGCTCATCGATGACTAAGTCGCTCCCTGTCACATATTTTTACTGAGTTACAGTAAAGCATTTGCTTATAAACTTCTCAGGAGTGGGGGCTTGATTTTGCACTACAGATGCACATGTGGACAGAGTGGGGTGGAGAAGAGCTGCATTTTGATGGGCATGCACAGACATATCTGCCTTTGAGTGCTGGTGTCACACTGGGCCAGAGGTCTTTGCTACACCCACCCAAACCAGTTTGCCGAGCCTGTCTTCTACACTCTGTGTTTTTGACCTGTCATCGTGTCATTTAAAACACTTAGGGAAACCACATGAAGAAGTCAGAGGATAAAAGGTGAACTCATACATGTTGTAAGAATGGAAAAAAAAAAAAAAAGAAACATTCACCTCACATTTTCCATAAATTTAAAATAAATGAAAGTGTTCTTACTCTTTCTTTCCTCATGTCTTCCTCACCACGTCAAAGTAAAGCTGATTTACTTCACGGCTGGAGTTTTTACTGGCTCCCTGCTGTGTTTCTTGTGGTCCCAGTGTGAGTTCTGAATGGAGGCAGCAGATGTAAAACAACCATTCAGGCTGGCTGGAAAACAGGCTGAGAAAGACTTGCTTGTTATTTATTTAAAATCAGGCTCTAACTGAGTGTGTTGAGTAATTAACCTCGCTGTGCCTGAGTGCCTCTCCGGGCTCAACAACGTGTTTAACAATAGATTGGTTTTACACAACCTTTTTGCCATGCTTACACACCCCATGAACGGGCCTGAGGAAATGTACTGAACCACCATTAAATCTCTAATGAAGTAATGGACGGCCCCGCTGGTTGGCCAGCTGCACAGGAGTGTGTGTTTATAGGAGTCAATGTGCTGTGCTAACTGCTAACATTTCTTGGACTTGAACACTGTTTAGAATTGGCACATTCAGTGAATGGAATAGTTTCTCTCATTTGCTATGTCAGGAGAGATTATATCTCACGTCAGAGCCATGACTTTGTGACCTTTGCGTTTGCCAGTTTTTTTTAGAGTATTTTCTTTTTCCATTTTAATCTTTTGGCAGTTTGAATTTGCTATTTTTGTCCTATGAGGAACTCAGGGTGGAACTGCACTGACCTCTGCTGGAAAGAAATGCAAATGTTCTGACAAAATAATATATTTAAAGTTTTGAATATTTATTAATATTTTTTTTCTGTTTGTCTCCCTTCACAGTGAATGAGATCATCGACAGAGACATGTCCCAGTCCCCCAACCAGTCGTAGCTCGGCCCTTGCGCCAATCCCCTGCAACTCGTAAATCCTGCCACTTCCTCACCTCCAGTATGGACCCAGGTGCCGGTCCGGGTGCTGGTCCTGATGGAAGAAGGGGGTTGAAGAGAGACGATTGTTGTCAACGGCTGAATACAGTTGGGAGAGTCTGTTCCAAACCACAAGGATTTGCAAGTTCACCAGCCTGAAGAAGACACTCGTCTGATTTCTTTTAAAACTGTTTGTCCTGTGTAGAGAATTTGATGCTGAACTACACAGATTAAAAAAAAAAGTGAGCAGGAGGATGTTGTAGCCATGCCAAGTTAGAGCCAGGGTAAAAACTGTCAGAGAACAATAAGAAACCGTTAAAAAAAACCTTCTTTTTCTTCAGCTCTTTAATGATCAGGGCTGTCTGTGACCCTTCAAAGCACCCAGTCTTCCTGACCAATCAGTTCTCACCTCTGTGAGTCTTGAGCACTCAACTTTTTTAAGTTTGTCTACAAGAGACAACTTAATGCGCTGTCGTCGCCCTCTCACCAGCATTGACCTTTCTTATGAGAATAAGAGATGCTCAGTAGTGCACAATCACAATGAGCCAGAAGGCTGTGGCAGTGCTCTCAGTGTTGCCAATTTCTCAGGCAACACTCTTAAGCACCAGGGTGCTATAAAATATTCAGGGTTAATTGAACATCAGCAAAAGTGTGGCAGAACAATTAAGAGGTGAAATTGGCTTAATAATGATCAGAACACCCATAATTATTTCAGAAAAAGCTTTGCTAGCCAAGCTTTGCTGTCAGGCTGAGTGAGTAAAATTTGCTGTAATGATGATGTCCACTCTTCCCCCCCCCCCTTCTTTTCCCTCCTGTAAATGATGAAAATATTCAGATTTAGAGGAGCGGGGTCCTGGCAGGTAGAACGAGCTCTTGTGGCACCGGTCTCTTTCGGATCTGCAACATTCCACAACTTTTTGTAATCTTGCAGCCGTGTAGATATCTGTACATTAATTCCCATACACCACCATACCCTAGCTTTTCTTCTCCTTTCTCCTCTGTTTCTCTGCCTTCTTCACATTGAACAAATGCCTTATTACCATTTAGGAGCTTTCAGTGGTGGCGAAAGCGTTTTGTTTTTGTTGTTTTGCACAGCAGGCTTTAAGTTTAACTGTTTCAGAAACTGATATGGGGCTCGGATTATGCGGATGTGATTTCAGGAATCCCGATGAGGGAGAGTTGGAAGATGCATGAAGACGCAGATTATTTTGGTGTTCGAGAGAAGTTTTTTTCATTGGTCCACAGACACAGAGCTTTCTGCCTCTGAAATTTCCCCAAATCTCCCAGGGCCCTTTGTGTGCCTTCAGTTTCCTAACAGCAGTCATACTTCTAGTGGTATGAGAGCTGAGGCAGCAATTATGAGAAAGTATTTATGCATAAAAATGTTTATGTATTGCACCCTGTTTAGCAATGAAAGCTGAAATCCAGGACTCCAGAAAACAGGAATCGGATGTATCGGGGGGGGTATCCCACATCCCTCTATTAAAAACAATCAGTCTTTGCTGATAACAATCCAAGACTCCTCCTTCATCCAGGATTTATTCATTCCCATTCTTTCTCTCCTCGCAGATGTGCAGTGCCTGTACGGCGGCAATAACAAACCTGAGGAAAGAGCATCTTCAGGCAGGTTTTTAGTCAGATATGATGTGGATGTGAACAGACAGATACTGATTTTGATTTGAAGATTTCCACTGGTTTCTGCCTTAAGCTTGACAAGGGTGAGGAGAGCTCAGGAGTGTTTTCTTTAATTATGGTTTGAAGTGAGTTTCCAGGTGAAAATGATTATGCTATGCATTCAGACTCTGCCTAATGCCTTTACATAAGAAAAAAGACAAAAAAGAAAGACCTTGATGCCTGTAGGAGTAGACTCTAGATGTGTTTTAGATGCTTGATTGATTCCGTTAGCATCCTGGATTCGTCCATCAGCCAACCTGCTTTGCCGAGGACGCGGTGCAAGCATCTTAATAGGTTCAGTTCTGAGTGAGTGTGCAGATGAGTGTTTGATGTTCGTACCAAATATGCTGTACAGAAGACGGGAATCTTAAGAGTCCTACTGTCAACAAGAGAAGCACACACATGTATTTTAGGCTATGCAAATTGTAACAACAGCAAATGTGAGATATGATGTTATATATGAGAAAGGAGATTATAAAATAGGTGTAAAGTCGCTTATGAACTTCACAGAGAAAAAAAACTGAACCTTCAGATAGTGCGAGTATCATGTCACTATGTAAACTATTAGAATGCCTTAACTCTTGTTTGAAAACCAGTTTTCAGTGTGTCTGTATGCTGTTCTGGGTTGTTGTTATTTTTCTATGCGTAAGACATAAGTCGGTAACTATTATTGTTATTTTTGTTTGATTTTTTTTTAGGGGGAATTGTGGACTTTAAGGGTGGGGTGGGAGGAAAAAGATGTCTTGGGCTTTTTTTGCATAAAGCTGGTTCTGCAGTTTGAAAGACGCGAGTCTACAAAAAAACACAAAATAAAACAAACAAAACAAGCAAAAAAAACCCCATAAAATTAAAAAAATATATATATGTAATAAAAAAACTAAAAAGAAGCAAAACCAGCATTGACAGTAAACTCTGGCTGCTGCCCTCGTCTGTCATAACCAAAGACCGAACAATATGTTCCCACTTTACATAATAGTAAAGCAACAGAGACTGTACAACTCTATTTTTGATACTTTGAAATGGATGTCATTCCTAAAAAAGGTGGGGACATGAGCGTCTCATATAATAATAAGGGAAATACAGGTTTAGCTTATGTTTACCAAGCCTTGTATTGTCATTTCTTGTATATTTTGTATGTTTCAATTTTTGTAATTTTTAAGACTGCAGTGCTTTTTGAAATTATTCAAAGGGAATAATACCTTGCATCATTACTGTAGACTCTAGTGTATGTCAATAAAACCAAAAGCTCAGCCATGGCTTTGCATCACCTCACTTTTTTCATCGATCTCTGAGATACAACTTTATTTTATACAACTTGTCTTTATATTTTGCAAAGTTAATGGTAAATGAGTGAAGTGATTTTATTAATATTCATAAACATTATTCGTAAACATAACTGGAAGTTCAATATATAAGTCAAAAACACAGTTTGTACAGTTCCAGTGAGCTTAAACATCAGTGTTTTGATATTAGTTTTGTTTATTTAACACTCTTAGGCAAGCTTCCCATCCCTCCACTCAGACCATTTCTGATGAAGCTTCAGTGAACGTAGGTGGATGAACTGAAGAACCAGATTAATCTCTCAGCTCCTGCATCAGGTCTTGGGATTTCCTCCTTCTGAAAGGACATGCCTTTCAGAGATACTGCTCATCTCCTGTTGATAGTTTTTTTTTTTGTTTTGGGGTTTGACACAGGCTTTTTTCAGGTATCCAGTTTAGACACAACACTGGTTCATCTGGGTTAGGTTGCTTTTGTTGTCTTGAATGATTCATAGGTGAGTGTTAATCGGCTTAACAAAGAAAACATTCACGTGAAACTGGTCAGGTACAAGTACCAGGCTGAAAATACGTGAAAAAAGCAGAAACTTTGAAAGCCAGAAGAACTACTAAAGACTATTTTAAGAAATGATTGTCTGACAAACTATAAAGAAATAAGGGGTGGCTCAAGACTTTTACACAGCAGCCTACTGTACTTGATAAATAAAAGGAAACACATATGAACATCTTATCTTACTTTTTTTTACCCAGACCAGCTGCTGATAACTCAGTTGTCTGGTGATCAGCATCGATTTTCAGCAGGATCAGCTCGTCTCTTTTTGAGTCTCCTCTTGTAAACTTGAGTCGATGAGCTGTAATCATAAAGCGTTAATGTCCGTATTTGAAATCGCAGACTGGGTTTTACATTCGCTAATAAACTGATTTCCCGTCTGTGAGGATCTGCACGTTCACTCTGCAAAGGTCGTGGAAGCATCAAAGCAATTACTCAGTTTTCCGGGATCTATTAAAACATGTGTACTCATTTTTTTGTAGCACGTGGAGGGTTTTGTTTCCCGGATGCAAAACTGATCTGGGACTGTGACTTGTAGCGGTACCAGTTGGATTGGACGGGCACTGATGTGGTTGCAAAGCCGAAGTCTCGTGTCCCGGACTTTCTCTGAAACCATTAGTTTTTGTTTTGCTTTTTTTCCAGTTTCTTTTTTTAATATCATAAAATACCTTCTGGAGTCTGGTCTCTGCACTGAGCAGATGTGCATTTATTTGCGTACTTATTTATTTTAGCATTTTTCGAATCACCTTTAATTTCAGTGATCAGAAAGAGTGCAGGTTCAGCCGCAAATGTCCCCACTTTCCCCGAAATTAAACTTTGCCACTTTTGCTGCTGCTGCAGAGACCGATTCTTTGTGTCGTCTCTCTCTACAGTTGTTCCACTCACGCTGTGCCACAGATGTCCCGAAATTAAACTGAAGAAGGAAACGCATTTCAGTTGTGGTTATGTGTCCGTCTACGTACGCGTTTCCTTTTGCTCTCACACCTTTGAACCTCTGAATTTCGGTTCCCAGAACTACGTGAAAAATTGAAACTGTTCTTTGGCGCCATCTACTGAAACTTTAACGTGCTGCAGCTGGCGGTAGCGCTCACATCTAGAATTAGTTTTTTTTTTTTTTTTAAATCTGCTCTTAATTTGAAATAAGTCTAGATCCAACAGGTCGCCTGTTGGGTTGTTTCTTTTGAGAATCTCTGATGTCCACGCTTGGGTTGCTCTACAATTCAACAGGACTTTGTTGCTTATTTACAGACATTCTTTTGACCGCTTCAGCTGTAACAGGTAATCAACCCATCTAGTTTTAAGGGTAGGGTTGGGCTTGTTTTACTGTGTTTTAATGGCACATTTTCAAAGAATAGATCCTTTCAATTTTCTTCTGCTTATCTAGTTATCAATTCCCTGGACAGGTAACCAGTCTATCACAGAGGTAAGGCAGAGATTCATGCCCACATTCACACCTATTTTTGGACTGTGGAGGAACCCACTTAGACATGGGGAGAACATGCAAACTGCACACAAAGGCCACAGACTAGATTCGATCCCATGACATGACAGCGTTACAGTGGCCGCAGGTTTGTCGGCTACACATCCGCAATGCGAATCTTCCACCATCTTTGTGATGTTCCACCATCACAAAGATGCTCTATTGGATTGAAATATGGGGATTAGGATTGTGGAGCTTTATGACACCAACACAGGTGGTCATCTTGACCTTATATGCACAATTGGAGTGAGTTGCTACCATTTGATTGGCTAATTAGATAACATTTATAGGCAGGTAAACAAGTGGACCTAACAAGATGGCCTCTTACTTTAAGTGATAATCCAAATGCCTCTAGGTGGGTTGATACTTGATAGTAGCCTAAAATATGTTGAGGTTGAAATACATCACTCATCAGCATTTTGAGAAAAAAAACAAAAAACCCCCAAAACAAACACCAGGAGTAGAAGTTACTAGAAATCAGTTTTTTGCATTTGTCTCTAAATAACAACTAACACAGATCATTGTCAACACTTTTTATTCTTTACAGTCTATACATAGATCTAAATTCAGGCAAGTCTCAAACTTGCTACAAAAAGAAATATCTCCTCTGCCACCAGAGGTTGCCCTAGCCTCTTTTGGGCCAGTATAGCACTCTGGGTGATGTAGGCGCAGTAAAGGTGAAAAACTAAGTGAGCTGTCAGAGGGCCTGCCACAGGAAAAACTCATGCAGCTTTACACAGTACTCTGATAGGAATTAAAGCATGCTACAGACAGACATAAATATTCTGGAGACAAGAACAAAAGACATACAGTAGCTAATTATAAACAACTTTAGGAAACACATGTTCATTTGATAACAAAATCTTAGTTTTTGTAAAGAAATGACATTAATAAAAATATAATTATTTTATTGTGCTACTCTGTTAAAGACACTCAGTTCTTCAAGTCTGACTGAAGCAAAAAGAAATTTGTAGTGCTTGGAAAAAGTCTAAATAGGATGACAGTATGTTGTACATAAATGTTTTTTTTAATAGAAAACAGAAGTTGTGCATTAGTTGCTCCTCTTGCACAGCTGTGTATAAACTAGTAGTCCCTGAAGCTCAAAGTTATGTCAAATTAATTCATGACAGTTTACAAGTACAAGTGTACAGTTATACTCTCTTTCAGTAGTCTAAGTCACACTTTATGGCTTTTTCTCTTTTCAGTGTTACAAATACACTGCTGCAGGCCACCAGATAATAAACAAAAGCCTACGCATGCACGCAGCTGTGCTTGCACAGAGCGAACACACAGGAAATCCCACACTGCTGCAAAGTGAAAATTTAGAAATATACATAAATGACTGTGTGTAGAAGTTGGTTGTTTTTGTATTTTGTTTTTGTTTGTTTTGTTTTTTTTTTTTACATCCTCAAGCATTCCAGGATGAACATCTGTACAGTTTTATGGGGAACACATGCAGTGTGCATTTAAATGATCATCCACATTTAGGTTTGTAGAGACACTGATATGATCTGTCCACACTCCTTACTCTCTCTTCTCCACAACCAGCTATTACAGTTGGTGCAAACACATAGAAATGCTATACATGACATCCACAAAGTGACATGAACCTGAAAATCTGAGCGTAAGTAGATGCTCAAATTCCAACAGCAGCTTCAGGAGTGCCAGGACCAGTAGTGTCAGGTGTGAAAAGCAGATCGTGGAAAAATGAGAGGAGCAATAGCTGTTTGACAGAGTAACCTGAGGTTGAAGAGGTGTTTGCAGGAGAGTGCTCTTTGGTGGGATGCTAAATTGAGCGAGGTGGAAGGAGATGGAGGGCTAGTGGTCAGTTACAGAAGGCCAAGTGGACCTGCTGCCCATAGAAGGGGTGGTTGGAGCGCTCGGCTACAGCCTGCCTGGCGATCTCCTCACTGGGGAAGGTGATCAAGGCCTCGCCGCTGCATTGCCCACTGAAGTTATACAAGATGAGAACGGCGTCTGGCTGAAGCTGCAGGGGGGAAAAAAAAAAAAGTGATGAAGTCAGTAAGTGTATTTTTAATGTAACTGGAGCATGAAAACACCAGGGGGAGCCCACAAAGCAGAGGAGGAATAATGCACTGGGAAAAGACCATCTCATCAAACCGGTCCAGTCAGAAAGCAACCAAAAGTTTGAACAGAGAAGCAGAGCACATGCTGTTCTCAGAGACCTGAAACCCACAAGGCAGGTTTAGATGCAACACAATCATTGGTTAGTTTGCATGCATTCGGATCCTGCACCAAAATCCGCTCAATGCAACAAAGGAGCTTGCATTCCTTCAGACATGCAGGTATGTATCAATCCACTGATCACAACAGCAGTGACAGCAGCAACAATCCATGAAGCTTTTTTATCAATCACATGTCACAGCATTACAAAGGGAGACAGTCATAACATTTTCTTTTGTGAATACAGCCAAAAGTAATGATTGACAGCATGAAATAGGCTGGATCACTTTAACAGTGCAGAATCATGATCAGCTCCTACTGCAATTTATACATCAGTGATTCAAAGTCTAAATACTGTCTTGGAAGTACTTGTTGACAATTTTAAAGCTAGCAGCCATTTGTATCTGATGTCGTGCGATGGCCAAAACAGTAAGATGTTAGTCAAGTCTAGGACATGCACTCTCCCTCCACTCCGCTGCTCTAGTCCGGAGGCTCTTCTTACCTTGGGGCGAGTCCCTAAAGACAGAGCCATTCTTTGGGCTGAATCAGACTCCTGGCCTGTTCGCTCATCTGAACCATGCCGCTGTACTCGTCAGGGGCGTACTACAGATACAGCATAATGACGGACACACAGTCAGGGTGGGACCCCTCCACATTGTTTCACACATGGCAGTACACAGTTTTGGGAAAAATATGTTACATGTTATTTGAAGGAGGAAAAACAAAGCGCACACACACACACACACACACACACACACACACACACACACACACACACACACACACACACACGCCTGAGTAGGTGTCATTTTAACTACAGAGTGTTTAGTGAGGGGAGTGTGTGGTAAAGGATACCAGTGGTGGTATGGGAATAGTTTTCTCACCCAGGACCAGTGTGAGAGTAGCTATTGTAGCCAGAAAAACACACTCCAACAGGGATACAATTGCAATGGTTCAGCCAACAGTCAGACACACACACACACCTCTGCTACTTCCAACAATCTTGAGTGTGCAACTCAAAACAAGTTTATTTTTCTGAACCTGATATTTGCACAGATTTATAAAACACATGAACCATGAAGACCAAAAGCAGACCGCAGATTTTTGCCCCAACAACAGCAGCAACAACAACCACCCTATGACACCTCAGACCCCACCCCTCTCCCTCCCCATCTTGGGAAATGTCTGATGCCACACCTATCAGTGTTCATACCTGCTTCAGGGGACTCCACCTAACTTGGACTGGCGGCATTAGACACGGGAAGCAAACAGGAGGGGGAAGAGCACAAGTGCACACATGTCCCTTTAATTGAGTAGTACTATAGTGTAATTTTGCAATAAAAACACAGAAGTAAATGCGCCGAATGGTTCAACAGTTAGAAACTTTCACGTGGCACTCACCCACTGTGGGAAGAGTAACTACCAAATTATTGCAAGAAACTGACAACAATTATCCTGTCACTATTCAAGGCGTTATCTCAAAAGCTTGATACATCCAAATACAAGACAGAAAGCTTTTCAAGTATATGGCTCCACATTTCCTGTGAATTAAAACATGCTTTCATTTCAGAGTTCCATGTACTGACCTGGTATCCCTGGAAAAAGCTGAGGATGTCCTTGACTCCAGTATTGTAGGGCAGACCCTGCATCCTGACCAGGGCACCATGCTGGGGTAATACAGGAGAGGCGGCAGCTGCAGCATGGTGGGGCTGAGCTGCAACTGCTGCTGCCACTGCAGGTGAAGCTGCAAAGTAGCCAACTGTGGAGGGAGACACTGGAGGGCTGGAGAGCAAATGGGAATAAGTGGAAAAGCAAAGTTATGATGAATACTAAAATTGCCACCTCACAGTTGTATTCTTCTGCCAGCCTGTGATGCTGCAGTTTAACCTTTGACCTTTATCAGTTTGTCACATTCGACATGTGCTTTAGATCACAATGTACTTACCTGGGGTAATAGGCAGTGTAGTTCATGTTCATGTTCATATAGAGATGTGGCTGAGGGGGGTAGTATGCCAGAGTGTGAGCAGGGCTGTGTGCGGTGGTTTGAGGAGGTCTGGGAGCGGCAAGCAGGGGAGGCTGGTAGAGGGCAGCTTCAGAGAGAATGGCAGGTGGAGTGGGGAATGCAGCATAGGCAGTGGGGGGAGACAGACCTACAGAAAGAGACAGAGGTATGCATGTGTAAGGTGTGTGTACAGTCCGCCACAAGTAAAGTGCTGTCAAGCATATGAATCAACTGAGCATGCTGCACGACTGTCTCTGGATAAACTGCAGAAGCTGTCATAAACATGTCACAACACATTCCTACGGTTGACAAACTTAGGACTGCAAAATTGTGTTAGATGTCAGCATTCAAACGGCTCTGAAAGGTAAAATAAGTCAGACTAAGAAACAAATGTAGAGCAGCTGCTGCACACAAAAAGGAAACAATGGCCTTTTTGAGTAGAGCATTTCACATACTGCACCTTTAAGGTAGTCAAACATGTAGGGATGCACTGATTATAACCCAACTATAAAACTAAAAACTAAAACCATAACTATAAAAATAAGATCTAGGCCAGAAAAAACGACTTCAAAGCCCCTAAAGACCCATCAGAATTTATTTATGTAGCTCGCAGTGTCCTTCATGGTGCAGTGTAAACACGCACAAATGATGGCACAGATCTATTTACAGACAAACAGCCACTACGTGTGCGAAGCTGTGGGCAGTTCCAGTGTTAGTCAGGCAACATGGTACCAGCACTGCTGATCTTCTGGCAGCATTTTTGGGGTCAGTTTGAGTAAAATTATGTTCAAAAAGATATTACCCCAATTCTTAATTCTAGTTAAGATATAGGCGAAAAAGCAAAACAACCTTTATTAAGTAGGTATTTAGCAAATTTAACAAAGTGTCGACATTTGATAATTAAAAAAACAAAACAAAATAACCTCTAGTAGCAGCTACATTATATCAGTGAATTCCAGCATGGTACCGTGATGGGATGCTACCTGTGCAACAAGTCCAGCTGGGAAATTTCAACACTACTAAATATTCCAAAGTCAACTGTTAAAGTGGAAGTGACTGGGAACGACAGCCACTGAGCCAAGAAGCGGTAGGCCATGTAAAATCAAAGACTGGGGTCAGCGGATGGTGAGGCTCATAGTGAGCAGAGGTCACCAACTTTCTGCAGTGTCAGTCACTACCTCCAATCGTCATGTGGCCAGCAGAAGTGTAGTGTGTAGAGAGCTTTGTGGAACGGGTTTCCAAGGACAAGGAGCTACATCCATCCTTACATTACCAAACACAATGTAAAGTGTCAGATGCAGTGTTGTAAAGCACTGGGTTCTGGTGTTGTCTGTGCAGATGCTTGCAAAGGACTGTTGTTGTATATAAGCGTGTTCCAATAACTTAAGAACCTTTGTAATCCAAGTAGCAGCATAACTGTAACTAATGTGAGTTAGGGCTGGATTATATCATACCGTTCACGGTAATACCGGTGTAATTTTGGGCAACGATAGGAAAATGAAATATCGCAATAGAATATGGGTAAAACGCGCATGCGTAGTGCCTTCGTTTACATACGCACATGGCGGTGACGCAGAATGAGAAGAGCGAAAGCGGATCGTTGAATGAAACAGATGAACCAGAATCTGGTTTGTAAAAATGCTGCAACTTCAGTGGTGTGGAACTGGTTTAGCTTTCGTCCGTCAGATACACAACAAAGCACTATTTTTGGTAGAGCATGCTAGCGGGCCGTCGTTATTACCGTGTTGTTTGGAAAATACGGCACACTTAAAATCAATCCTTTGATTTTTCTGAAAATCGACAGTGCCCTTATAATCCCGTGTGCCTTATGTATGAATTCTGGTTGTGTTTACTGACCTCGAAACGATTTTAGTGTACACGGCGCTCGAAAATCTGTCAAATGTTTCAGTACGACTTTGCTAAGCTACGAAGCCGCACCGCTTGATGGATTGTCGGAGCATTACGGCTATCGTAGGCAGGAGCCTCGCGAGTGATACGTACTGTGCTTCAACATAATATTACCGTTTGTTGGTAGGTGTGTTGTTTTGTGTGTGTGTATAACCTCTTTTTAAGTTTTGTGGATATTATACATGGTTATGCTGAGGATATGTCGGCCAGTTTCCACTGGAAATGCCTTTTGGTTAAACTGTCAGCAAGGAATTTGCACTGTTACATTTTTATATAACTTTAATGCACATAAAAAACAGCTGCTTGTTTAAGTGAAAATACATTGATGGGGTTTTTTGCACTAATAAAGTTGTGGAGTTGTAAAGTATTTTGTCTAGTGTCAATTATATCGTCAGTTATATCGTTATCGCAAATTTTCAAATGTATATCGTGATAAATATTTTTGGTCATATCGCCCTGCTCTAATGCGAGTGTTGAATTTAGTGCAGTGCCTTACTGAAAAATGTAAGGTGATTACAGTGAAGACTTACTTTGGAACGAACTACACTCAACACTGTCGAAGCATGAATGACCTGTGATTGACAAGTTGTTAGCCATACTCTGAATGTCCTCATTTATGGCTAATAATGTCTATAATTTTCAAAATGAACCTTGTGGTTTATGACCTGAAACTAGCAACAGAGTCTATAAAGGAATCAGGAAAGTGTGCAGCAAAGAAAATGAGCTCCGTTTATCCATAGACTTCTATACAACCGGGCACCTTTTTGCAATCAGAGCACTCCGCCTATGCTGCCCATTAAAAAGAATGCAGATTTAAGGCGCTTGCACACTGGCCTCACCTTTCATTTGAATATGACCTATGGCTTTGTTTTGTTTACAGAGGTCAAGAGTCTGATTGAACACAAATACAGGCACCTTTTCACTAACCACTATTTAACATGCTCACCACTAAACAAAGTACAGCTGAAGCTAAGATGTTGATAAAGTGTGACTTAAAGATGATGAAATTCAGTGTTATTGGGGGAAAAAAAGAAATTCAGTGTTATTACAGCTCATTCTTAGGGAGACTTTAATCCTTGTACAAGACTGGCCTTTCTATTCAGTGTTGGCATGTTTTAATCTGGTGGAGAAGTGCTAGAACCAGAAAAGATTAAGCAGAATTTCCAACATGGTAGCATGGTTTTCAGATATTATTATCATCATCATCAATCAAATGTTACTGCAACTCTTGCTTATGTGGACCTTATCTGGCGTTTCTGACTTACAGGGAAGCTTGCAGGGGGGTGGGGAGAGGCCGCTGCGGTTCAGAGTTCCACCCATCAGGACAATGCTCATTTCCTCTGTGGAGCACTGGAAGACTTCCACATACCGGTCCTTCATTGTCTTTTTATGGCACTTTTGGGCTACCATAAATGCCTTGTCAGGTGACTTCATCTGGATGAAGGCATCACCAGAGGGCCGTCCCTGCACAGACAGGGGTAGAAATCCAATTAACAAATGACTGAATGAATGTGTGTTTGTGTGAAGTGTAAGTAAATCTGTGGGGAAAATAATTTTAACAGTACATTGAGCTGTTCTGGACTTGCAAATATTGCCCCTCCCAATTTTTTATTTTTACTTTGTTTTATTTTGGTAACATTTACAAAACTTTTTCTCATTTTTAGAGATTTACGATGAAGATGTAAGTGAAAATGCTGTATGGCTGTTATTTTTAAAGACAGTATTAAGATATAGAGCTTTAATATTACAAGTATGCCTGGGCCCATGACTTTCTAATAGGCTGACCTGTTGGTTGAGGACCATGTGGACTCCGTGGGGTTTGATGTCAACAGTGTGCTCTCCCATGAACTCCAGGATATCTTCAATGCCAGCAGTGTAGGGCAGACCACGGAGGCGTACGCAGTCGCGAGTGCTGCTGGCTGCTGGAAGGAACGGAGGTGTTGTGAGGACTGGGACAGGCATGATTGGCGAAGGGGGCAGTGTGGAGATCAGAGGTGTGGACATGTAGCGGTTCAGAACCTGGAAAGCACAGACACATACAAAATAAATAAATAAATAAATGAATGAATCTCGACTGCATATGCAACAAGCATTAAAAAATGTACAACAAATACATAAACAGTAACCGAGTGTCATGGTGACTAAAAAAAAAAATATACACACACACATTGCACAAATGATTTTGTCATCTATAGTATTGCACAAACTCCAGTATTGTCTGATTTATTAATACCTCGCACTCTGGATACTATGTTTTCTCACTTCTCTATGTTGCCATAACACCATTTATTTGGAAACCCAAGGAAACAGCTGCTGTGGACCTCAGGCCATGGTGACTGTCATAACTTTCTCTCACACTTGCACAAAAACGACTTTCTTAGGCTATTCTGAGAGCACTAAAGAATCAATTGAAAGTGTATTACACAACACAAACCCATCTAATAAGTATCTTGCACGGGAAACTTTCTTCTTCTTTTTTTTTTTTTTTGAATAGCACGTGTTTTTCTTGCATTACAACGAGAATCTAAGCACAAACAGTTAAATGTTGTCTTTTTGTTACATCACAAACTACAGCTAGAAAAACTTTCAGGCCACACAACTGGAAGAATGTACCTGTTGCACCTCTGCTGCAGTGCTCCGAAACAGCTCGATATAACGCTTCCCGAGGATCTGTTTGTGTTTCTTCAGCGCATTCTGTGCATACTCTTCACAGGAAAAGAGCACAAAGGCGTCACCAGTGGGTCGCCCATCTGGGTACTTAACAAACAGCAGACCCTCGGTGCCATCTGTAACTGGGCTCTCAGGACCAAGGAAGGCCAACACGTCCTGTGGTGTGGCAGTGAATGGTAATCCCCGCATACGGATAATCACTTGATTCTCCTTGGACAGGAACTGGGCCACCTCATTAGATGTACCTATAGTCACAGAGGACAGAAAGGATAAAGCTCGCTACACCATAGGGCCTCCAAAAATCACTTTGTAATTCTCAAAAAGTCCTATTCACTCTCTGCTGACTAAGTTACTTTTAACAGCCACCCTGAAAGTAAATCTTGTTATATGGAGTATTTGCATTTGTCATAGTTGATCAGTCCACAAGTTAGGAACAACAAAGCTGAGTCATAAATCAGACTTTTGACTCAGTAACAATGCAACCAAGGGACAGGAAGCGTGACTGTGATTCCTCTGGTTGTATAGATCCACATATTTAATGAAGTTTTTGAATTGCTGTCAGGACAATCATTCAATTCCAGTGACCCAAAAGAAAAGCTGAAAACTGAGGATTTAACAAACATGAAGCATTAAATGCAGGCCATCATATTTCAACTCAGCCTAAAACAAAGTAGTGGATCAACTAAGTAACCTATAGATGCCATTTATGCCATGTCAGCTAGTCTACAATATTAAATATCTGAAAAATCAAGGTATTTTATGTTATCATCCAAATTATAAAATTTCAATACTTCCAGATGAAATTAAATGTATCATTTCCTGCAATCCATTAAATTCTAAACTATAAACAAAAATACAAGCTGCGGTAGAAAAGGCACACAAGTAATGCAGCATGAAGTTCGTTTCTGCATGTGTGGTGTACAGAGAAAGCACAGATCAGTGCTGTGCTCAAAGACAGACTGTACAGTTTAATGCACAATAAATTAGTATGGAATCAGGGTTTGACATGTAAACCTTTGGGGCAAGCTTGGCTAAGAGAAATGAAGCTGAAAGAAATGCTAAAAATGCCTGTATTTTGCAGCCATGTATAATTTGTAAAGTGACTTCTAAAGAAACTTAAGCTGTCACTTTTTATTGTAAGAGAGATATGAATGTGTGTCTTAAAGTTTATGGTTACCCATTTACATTTTGATATACAATTTTTATTCGTTTATCAAGAATAGCATAAAACAACACAACCAAACAGAGAAGAAGAAAGAGTTGGGACAAATCATTTGGCAAATAAGAAAGCAAAGGGGACCAAACATTGAGAAAGAGACCCTCATTTCCTCCTAAAATAGCAGCAGTTCTTTCATGAGGAATAACTTTAAATAATTCTCTGTACCACAACGTCACAGAGGGAGGTTTATCCTTAACCCAATTAATGAGAATACATTTCCTAGCTACCAGCAATAGTTTGTGACATAATTTGCGCTGCAAGTGATTCAATGTTAATTCTTTTGAGGGTAGGCCAAGAAGAAAGTACCCGGGGTCCCTTTGAATCAGATTGTTAAAAATATTACTTAGTTCTTGAGATATGAAGCTCCAAAATCTTTTGATTAATTTACATTCCCAAAAGTAATGAAAAAAAGCGCCAGTTTCTTTTTGACATTTACTACAAAGATGGGAAATATGAGGTGCAATCTTATGCAAGACATTAGGAGCTATATAAAGGCGATGTATGATTTTGTATTGGGTTTCTCGCAAGCGGTTACAAGTAAAAGTGGAACTACTCATGTTAATGGCTCCTTTCCACTCCTCTTCGGTATATTGATTATTAAGATCTCTCTCCCATTTATAAATAGCGCTCAGTGTGTTGCTACTAAGAGTATATAGGAGAGAGTAAAAAGCTGAGATAAAATGAGTTCTGTCTTTTCGCTTAATAAGAAATGTCTCAATATCATCATATATAACTATTTCTGAAGACTGTGGAATTCTAGAATGAACGAAGTTACGAACCTGGAGAAAGCCAAAAAAGTGGTCTCTAGGAATATTAAAATTTGCCTGCAATTGGTTACCCATTTAATGTTGAGAATTTAAATCTAATTCAAAACTGGAGAAAACAGCAAATGTTAAGGAACAACTCTTAAGCTGCTTGAAATTGTGATACTGGTTAATAAAAGATCATTAAAGATAAACAGATGAGGTTACAATTACATACATCTTATTAAATGAAGTTAATTGTTAAGAAGGCTGCCCAGCCTGACACTTGTGACCAGCGTTGCCCACGGGCACATTTAACTTAACCAAGTTAAATTTTTCTCTTTGGTTTACAGTTTCTGTAAATTGTGTCCCTCATTTGGTGTGCTTCCGGGCAAGATCAGTTTGGGTGTGAGACAAAAACAGCAAAAAGAGGCTATATTTACTTGGATCAGCCTTTAAAGAGAAGGTTTACAGACACAAATGGTCTTGTTCCACCACAAAGTCAATTATAAACAGTAAGATTTATAAAATGTGCAGTAACAAATGCAGAAAGTATAAAAGTACATAGAAAAAAAAGAAACTTCACAACTAATCAGATCAAGAATTTAAATGACTCATCTCCAGATATTAATTTTATATGATATGTGATCAGGTTAATATAATTTTTGGTTCAATGGCTTTAATATTTCTTCTTTATTGATCCTGTCTCTTCTACCTTTACTCAGTAAACTCAGATCGGTAGCCTAAAGGTATTTTTGCAGAGGATGGAAAAATGTTAGATCTTTCAATTTCAAGCTTTACATCCAAAACAATGAAACAATTTAATCTACACATCTGTTTACATGTTTACTGCTTTCATTTATCATGCATTGTGTCTGCTTCTCCACTGTTTGCTTAAAGTTCACTGTGCTATCGATATGTATTGATTCTTAACCCACTGACTAAAGTCCAGGGTCCAACAAGCAGCCAGTGTAAGTTCTCTGCTGCAAGCGGCTGTGCTTCTTTTGACTGCTATCTCTACCCTTGTGTTACTACTGGCTTCCTCTCAGGCCCCGGGCCATGCCTTTGTCTCTTCACACCCATTTTGTGTTAGCACCGAGTCGGTCCTTTTACTGGGCGACAGCCCTCTTTCCCTCAGGGGGAATGGAGCCGGAGGCTAAACTGAACAGAACAGGTGAACTGCTGTTAGCCCAGAATAAAATTTCTTTCCAAGTGGCCTCAGAGGGGTTGGCCTAGGGAAGGGGAGATTAGCAAGGGATGGGGGCTGTGGGGGATACACCTCACAAAGCGCCTTTCATTAGTCTGAGATAAGGGAGCCACTGGGATGAGGCAAACACACAGGTAACAGGAGAGTTAGAGCACAGAGGAGATTTCTCTCCTTCTTTTAAGAGAGCAAAGTGGTGAACTTTCACAGATGCGAGAGGGTGGTTTTTTTTTCCTTTTTCAAAAGTGCAGGAAATCCATGAAACAAAATGCTACCTCACACTGAGAAAGTCTTTCAGTATGACCATGTAATCATGGTCAGGTGAGAGGAGAAAAAGAAAGAGAAAAAACCCTGAAATCTGACCTCCAGCAATCTTGAGGAATTCCTCTCCTGTGGCCTTGTAGACCTGAAAAACACGAGATGAAAACTTAATATGAATATGTGACTACGATTTCAGGCAAAAATCAAATAGACACGTCAAACACCCAACTTTTAAGCAAGGAAAGAAGAAAAATCACGTCACAAAACTCCTTCATAAAACTGATGGTATTAATTTGATTAAATCTCACATTCAGCTCGACTTCTTAATGACATCAAAAGAGGACCCTAAGCAGATTTTTTTTTAAATTCCCCCCCAAAAAAACTACACCATGGAGCCACAATTAAACTGAAAGAACCTCACCTCAATGTAGCGGCTGCCCATGTGGTGTTTGTGGCGCTCCAATGCCAGGTCTCGGTGTTCAGAGTTGATGAAGCGAACTAAGGCCTCGCCATTCCTCCTGCCCTGAGCATTAAGACACAGCGCCACACCACCCCTGAAACACAAGGGCACCGATAAATGAATGCAAGGGACAATTACCTATATCTGCTGGGTTCTCAAACAAAATCTTCTCTATCTTAAATTTCTACCACCGTGACTGTCTTTTCATGTCATCGCCATCAAAAACTCTAACAAAGCCTGACTAAGTCATTAATTCAGCAAAACTAGCATTTTGTAATCTGGCAGTTAATATAACATCTGTTATGCCTCCAGTCTTTTAGCTCTGTGTGAACAGATTGGCTGCTGCCAGTATATTGTGAAGGCATAGCATGTCAGACTCTCAGACAGAAAAAGCATAATACCAGAAATATTTCTAGAAATCATTTTAACAGTGTAGCAGTGGATGTTAAAAAGATGACTAGCAAAGATTAGGCTGTACTTGGACACAGCAATTGTTTCAACAAGGTCAGGTTTCCATTGGGCTTTAAAAGCATTTCATAATCTGGAAAGTACTTTAAAGGAAAGAGTAACAGAATAAAGTTACGCTAACTGCAAACGTTGACAAATTCTGTGACTAACATGTTAAAGGCTCCAAAGACATTTTGATAGATGAGCACAAAATCCAACGTACTTGGCGATGTTGAGGCCTTTAAAGAAGCGAGCAATGTCTTGGTCTGAGGACTGCCATGGAAGCCCTCGTGCTCTGATCACAGCCTCACTGTCCACCGGCTCAGTCTTACTGCTGCACCAAACACCATGTGGGGAAAATTTAAATAAATAAAACTATTAATAGTTTATTTATATATATAAAATAATGTGTGCAGAATATTCAAAGCCTTGTTGGAAATGACTGGGATTTAGGGAAAACAAACGGAAAAACCTTGATTCTTGTTGCGTTTAAACAGATCGAGTAGACAAGAGGCCACTCAGAGTAAGTGCTAAACACAGTAACACACTCCCATGATTAAATGTCAGAAGGTTGTCGAGGTGAGAGGCTTTTGGTTTTCTGAGAACAGCAGGATTTGGTGCTCTGCTATAAGATATCCTGGTAAGCACTTGATGGCAAAGTTGGACAGGTTTAATAACACACTTGTGGTTTCCTTGTTGCTGTAATCAATGCTAAGAGCCGGAGAGGTCTGAGACCCGAATGTGGTCGAGGGGGGTTGTCAAGACTAAACAGCACTGCCTGGCTGCAGGTGTGGCAAGAAACTACACAGAGATGGACTGAGATAATATTTGTGTTGAAGGTCGATACATACCATGTGCCTGAGTCAAACTTGTAGTTCACTGTTTCAACACAGGAGAATTTGTGATCTAAAAAAAGCAAAAGCAAAACAGCATTATATTATGGGATGTGTTTTTGGCTCACGCACCTCCAATGCTCCCTCTCATGTAGAGAGGAGCACAACACAAACTTGTAATACCCAGAAACACACTTGGCTGTGATAACAGTGATAGAGTCGGAGCGCTCTGGCTCAGTTTAAAGTTTGACATGTTTTCATTGTTACATATGTTGCCTCACTTTACTTGTATGTACAAAACTTTTGACAAACAAGTGCTACTTTGTAACACGCATTTTGACAGTGGGTCACAATAAAAATAAATAAATAAATAAATAGTAGTACTTGTTCCTTAAATAGAAATAATATAATCAAGGCATGGTTTAATCATTAACCAACTATCACAGTCACTCTTTTACTTTCTTCCCCATGTGTGGTGTATGTTTAGTAGATGGGATAATTCAAAGAAAAGAACAGAGGCTCACTCGTCATAACATCTTTAGCTCAGATGACACGATTATTTCTGCATTTAAAGTTATTTTTCTTCAGTCAGTATGGCCATTTGTATTTTTTGAACATGTAATCGTATGAATATGAACCTGTATGTTCACGTGGATAAAATCAGTAACCATGTGAAGAAAAAAAAAAAGGATGTTAAAACCTTAACTGCAGCATTCTCCTTTGACTATTTAGCTAGTGTGTAATTTCAGTGTTAGAAATTAAATGACAAAATTCCACTATGTACATTAACACGGTTAAATGTTTGTTGTATAAACATGAGGGCTTCCAGTTTCCATATTCTTCCTGCTGTGGGCTAATGCAAAGACATAGTTCTGATTATATCAAAGGTAGTCATAGTGTGTTAACACAAAGTACGGTCTCCTTGATCACTTCACTGCTCTCCCCATCGGTCAGTTTGTCTTCTTTCTGTGCCTAATTTAGTTTCAGCTACTAGGTATTAAGCATCTTGTTCAGTGTGAGGTTACTTGAGATAGAAGGCCTGTCATTACTTACTGTGGGGCTCAGCCAGTATGCAGAGCGTCAGCTCCACCATGCTCCTCACCTCCCTCACCCCTATCGACTCCTCTGACACAGCAGGGAGACCAACATCTGCACACAGAGTTAAGGCCGCATCCCAGTTTTTATTCTGACTACATGTTGATATTTTACTACGTTTTACTTGCTAAGCTATTATATAGTATTTCAGAAAAGTATAAACACTCTGTTATTATGACTGTTATTTGTCAGGATTGTTAAGGATTATAAAATGTCCTATTTCAGTGGACATGGCAAATGATAAATGGCCTGTATTTGTATAGCGCTTTACTTAGTCCCTAAGGACCCCAAAGCGATTTACACTACATTCATTAACCCATTCACAAACACATTCTTGGTGATGGCAAGCTACATTGTAGGCACAGCTGCCCTGGGGCGCACTGACAGAGACGAGGCTGCCGGACACTGGCGCCACCGGGCCCTCTGACCACCACCAGTATGCAACGGGTGAAGTGTCTTGCCCAAGGACACAACGACTGAGATTGTCCGAGCCAGGGCTCGAATCGGCAACCTTCCGATTACAAGGCGAACTCCCAACTCTTGAGCCACGACAGGCTAGCAAAGGATACATTCCAACATCGAGGTGAGTGTGAGCTTCTGCGCAAGGCCAGCATTTGGGCAGCATTTGTGAAACTCCTTTCTCACATCCACAAATGAAAAGAATATTTCAGGTAGGACCAGATTCTGGATAGGAACAAACAAAAAGAAAGTTACTTAGTGCAGCAAAATGAGGGTTTGGAAATCTGATATGGAAACTGGATACAGCAGGATGCTAATAAACAAGCAGCTGAAGAGGAGAGAATTTGGATGGAGAGGGTATGTGCACACTAGCATCACACTGTGCTACTGAATAGGAGGTAAATGTAAGTCAAATGGCTATAATTAGTTAGTAATACAAAAATCAGTGCATGCCAATTTATTACAAACTATAATAAAACTGAACTGAAGTAATCAAAGGGAAAAATGTAGTTTCTACTATTGAGTCATGATTCATAAGACTTGTTTCAAATATTTAAAAAAAAAATACTGGAAATATTTCTAAAATCCTATATTTTTATATGTTACTCTCTATGTGTCTCCAGTTTATGGAACAATGGAGTGAAATAATCACCTTTTTGGAAGCTTCTGGGTGGAGGGCCTGACGAATGACAAGGGGAGTGTCCACACAAAGTGTGTACGTGGTCCTGCCAAGGCATTTTACTTCTGATGACACTGACTGCTGGAACTGCACAGATACAGAGAGAGGAAGGAGAAAGGCCACTTTAAGACTGACTGGAGTATTTTTATCCTTCACAAAAAAAAAAAAAGCAGAACTGTGATTGAAATGGCACCATATTTAAATTGCCTAAAAGTATATTTTAAAGTACAAGAGAGAAGAAAAGCTAATGGGAAGTAATCCAAAATAAAGTGGGACTTGAAATCATTCCACTTGCATCACCTACGGTGTACAAATGAGAATCTGTTAGTGTACTTGAGATCTAAAGACAGAAAAAGTGAAGGTGGTGTTGTGTTTGACATTTGTCTCCTCATTACAAGCGACGCTCGTCTAACAGGTTTCAGTGTTTGCCCAGTGAGGGAGGGTGCAGACAAAAGGGAGGAATTATTACAGCACCGATCACCAGCACCACAGTTTTCTCTTTGTACAGTAGCAGCCAGACGAGTTAAAATCCCAACCCATACAAGTCAAACCTGCTGGTCTCCACTTTGCATAAACACTGATGGCCTCACCACCCAGTCCCAAATACCATCACCTCCCACATAGCCATGCTTATTTGTAACTACAACATTTATTGAGCCCCCTTCCTTGTATTTTGTCAACCTGTATTGGCAGCAGTTAACTGTCAATGAAGGACACCTCTTGTACAGAAAAACAAATCACTTGCAAAAAAGTTGCAATCAAATTTTCCATCACATTTTCATACCGTTTTGGCCACCATATTATGAGAAAAACATTTATTATTATTAATAATAATAATAATAATAATAATAATAATAATAATAATAATAATAATAATAATAATAATAATAATAATAATAATAGAT